TAGCTCCAGCTATCCGGTGGTATGTCTTTCGCTTCCATCTCGTGGAAAACTTGGCAGGCTTGATCGATCTTCGACTGCTGGCACAGGCCGAGGATGATAGTGTTGTGTGAGCGACGGTTTGGAGTACAGCCCAGGCGCTCCATCTCGTTGAACAGGAGGAGAGCTTCTTCCACTCGGCTGGACTTGCAGAGCCCGTCCATGACCGTGTTGTAAGTCACCACGTCCGGGACGTGACCATCTTCTATCATCTTCTTAATCAAGTCGCAGGCCTCCTCCAGCATTCCTCTCTTGCAGCTCGCGTCGATCATAACGTTGTAAGTCACCGGGCTTGGAGGGCAGCCTCTTCGGTTCATGTCCGCGAAGAGCTCGCGAGCATCGTCGAAGCTGTTGGCCATGCAAAGCCCGTGAATGAGACTCGTGTAGGCCACCGTCGAGGGAGTCACTCCCGAGTGTAGAAGCTTTTGGAAAAGGTTGCGAGCGTCGTTAAGTTTCCCTGCCTTGGCGAGGCCGTCGATGAGGATACCATAGCTCCAGCTATCCGGTGATACGTTTCTTTCGTTCATCTTCTCGAACATCTGGACCGCCTCGTCGATTCTATCGTTTTGGCACAGTCCCAGGATGACGATATTGTATCCGCGGAGGCTTGGAGGCGAGGAACTCGAAGAAGAACTAGACGGAAGTTCTCTGTCACCAAACAGCCGGACTGCCTCCTCGACGCGACCGGCCTTGCAAAGCCCGTCCAAAACCGTGCAGTAGGACACTTCGTCGGGAGCACACTCCTCGTCGGGCATCGCTCTGAGAAGCTCGCGAGCCTTGTCGACTTGTCCTCGCGAGCAAAATCCTTCGAGAAGCACGTTCAAGGTGACGAGACAAGGCTCACGCCTGTTCTCCCTGTAAACTTGCAGCGCCTCGTCTATCCGTCCGGAATCCATGAGCCCGACAAGAACAGAGTCGAGAGAACCGGCCGCGAGAGGTATTCTTTTCTCGGACATCGTTCTCGCCAGCTCCAAGGCATCGTCCACTCTGGCAGCCTTGCAAAGCGCCACTACGACGATGTTGTAGGCGCTAGAGTTTGCAACTGGCATAATCTCCAGTAGCTGAAAGGCACGCTCCATGCTTCCTCGCAAGCATAGCTCGTGCGCCAGAAAGCTCGATGTTGCAAAGTAAGGTGGTATCATCCTGCTTCTCATCTCGTCCATAACTAGCTCCGCCTCGTCCATCTTCCCAGCCTTGCAGAGCCCACACAAGATGGTGGTGAAAGTAAACGAGTCAGGAAAACACCCTCTGTCCACCATCACTTGCACCATCTTCTTTACGGCCTCTGTTTCCTGCCTCTTCGAAAGGCTGTCTATCAGAACGTTGTAAACGTCCGGGTATGGAGAGTGGCACTCTTCCATCAGGGAGAAAATTTTCACCGCCTCGAAAGTTCTCCCAACGTTGCACCATCCCTGGATGACGCTGGTGAAGAGCAAGGGAGCCGGAAAAATCCCTTGCTGAAACATCACTCGAAGAACTTTCTCGGCCTCGGCTAGCTTCTCAGCTTCCACGAATCCATGAACAAGGGACGAGCATGTAGCCTCCTCCACCAGAGTAAAATCCCTTGAGAACTTGTGACAAAATACCTTCCAGGCCTCCCCAAGCTTTATACTACCCTGAATTCTTTTTCTAACTTTGAAGCGCTTTTTTTCTTTGCAATTCTACCCGCATTGCTTCGATCTTCCACACCTGTTCTGGACAAATCGATCAATCTCCTCCAGCGGCTTCCACTGGAGCATCTAAACCCACCTGAGAACGATCGCCTGCTGC